CTGTCTCCCACAGTCTTCTGTCTCCATCTGTCTTCAGCCTTCTGCTGTCCTGTCTCCTGCTGTTTTCTGTCTTGTCATGTCCATGCCTCCTTCTGTCCTTTGCCTCCTGCTGTTCTCTGCTTCCTGCCCTCTGTCTTGTTTTGTCCACTGTCTCCTGTTGTCTTCCATCTCCTGCTGTCCTCTGTCTCATCTTGTCTTCTTTCTCCTTCTGTCCTCTGCCTTCTGTTCTGTGTCCTGCTGTCCCAGAATAAATGTCCAAACTGAAGACAAAGCTAACTTTAGGAGAAAAGCGACTAGAAGGACGATTTCATTAAAGCTGTGGATCACAAACGACTCCAGTTTGATTTTTACAGGAAATATTTGACCAGATTTAATTTTTAGGTTTTTGACATTTAAAATAAAAATTGTATAAAATAAATGTGTGTGTGTGTGTGGACCCGTCAAAGTGTGATACGTCTCTGAAGACTTGTCCTCCAGTAATTAATTATTCGTGTTTAATCCTCACGTCGCTCCACACATCTGAGGCTCGAACCATCGGATTAACGCGGCCTCCTCTGAACCACTGTCAGGCCTGCGAGCTTCTCGTTTCTTCCCACATCAGTTTATAGGAAGGTAAACAAAGTGAAGACGTTGGTGCGTGTCTTCAGGACGTGTCCTCGGGACGTGTCCCTGCGTCCAGGCCGGTTTGTCTCGTGCATGTTTGTGTTTGTGAAAGTGGAGCCGCAGTCAGAGCAGTTTGACGTGATGGTTTGTGGCTGCGTGGCCTCCTGCTGAGGAACGAGGGATAAGAGGAGGAGTTGAAGAGAGGAGGGGAGGGGGCAGAGGAGGAGGAGGAGGAGGAGGAGGAGATCAGAGATGGGAGGATTTGCAGCTTCAGGTTTGAAAGGGGCAGAATCACAGAAATTGTCTGCTGTTCCAGCAACACTCTGGTCTGTATTAAATAAATAATAATAATTAATAATCAATAATAATAATTAATGATCAATAATAATAATAATTAATAATCAATAATAATAATTAATGATCAATAATGATCCATCTGGCCTCCCTGCTCAGACGTGTTCGTGTGGGAATCGCTGACAGGAAGTGGACTTCAGCTCCTTCACATCACTAATTAAACTCCAACAGGACGTTTGGGTTTGTGTGATTAGCGCTGGTCCGTTGGCAGCTCTGGTACCGTCGCCGACCCGGTTTCACTCCGGCCCGTTTCAGCGGGTCAGGGGGGCCAGAGAGGACCAAAGGCGCCTGCTGTCAGACGTGATTACAGCGCTCGGCTGCGATGGGCGCCGCCGCCACGTCCTCACGCTGTGGGGAAACCCAACAGGTGGCGCCGGCGTTTGGATCATAGTCTGACCCTGAACCAGTTCTGTCCGTCGAGCCGACCCGTTTCAGAGCGGGTCGGCTGCTCCAAAAAGCTCCAGTTTACCAGCAGAAATACTAAAAGTGGTCATTAAAAAAAGATCGGACAGAAAATTAACCAAAGGGAACCGAACTCTGAGGTTCTGAAGGTTCTTCTGTCGGGTTCTGGTTATTTGAGGGAAAACCTCCAGGAGGTTCTGAAGGTTCTTCTGTTCTCCGCTCAGAGTGTCGTTTTCAACTGTCCTGACCCGAGGAGCGGCACTAAACAACTGTTTGGTGTGTGTCTCTCTGTGTGTGTGTGTTCTTCAACACATTTCCATTTGTTTAACACACGTGACTCAAACGTTTGAGTTCTGAAACAGGATTGCTCACTTCACCACCGTGTCACACCTGATAAAAGCTCCACATGTTTAAAGGACGTGTGGACATCCAGTCCAGGTGTTTAATGGACGTGTGGACATCCAGTCCAGGTGTTTAATGGACGTGTGGACATCCAGTCCAGGTGTTTAATAGACGTGTGGACATTCAGTCCAGGTGTTTAATGGACGTGTGGACATCTAGTCCAGGTGTTTAATGGACGTGTGGACATCTAGTCCAGGTGTTTAATGGATGTATGGACATTCAGTCCAGGTGTTTAATGGATGTATGGACATCCAGTCCAGGTGTTTAATGGATGTATGGACATTCAGTCCAGGTGTTTAATGGACATGTTGACATCCAGTCCAGGTGTTTAATGGACGTGTGGACATCTAGTCCAGGTGTTTAATGGATGTATGGACATTCAGTCCAGGTGTTTAATGGATGTATGGACATTCAGTCCAGGTGTTTAATGGACATGTTGACATCTAGTCCAGGTGTTTAATGGACGTGTGGACATCCAGTCCAGGTGTTTAATGGATGTGTGGACATTCAGTCCAGGTGTTTAATGGACGTGTGGACATCTAGTCCAGGTGTTTAATGGACGTGTGGACATCTAGTCCAGGTGTTTAATGGACGTGTGGACATCTAGTCCAGGTGTTTAATGGACGTGTGGACATCCAGTCCAGGTGTTTAATGGACGTGTGGACATCCAGTCCAGGTGTTTAAAGGACGTGTGGACATCCAGTCCAGGTGTTTAATGGACGTGTGGACATCCAGTCCAGGAGTTTAATGGACGTGTGGACATCCAGTCCAGGAGTTTAATGGACGTGTTGACATCCAGTCCAGGAGTTTAATGGACATGTTGACATCCAGTCCAGGTGTTTAATGGACATGTTGACATCCAGTCCAGGTGTTTACTGGATGTATGGACATTCAGTCCTGGATGGTACGGTCCAACCTTCACCTGTGGTCAGGTGGTTTGGATCATCGCTGAAAGAACCAGATCCTGGACCCCAGTGCAGTGTGGCCGGGCTCAGCCTTGAGAGACCAGATCAGGAGCTCCATCGTCCAGGAGGAGTAGAGCTGCTGCTGCTCCTCCTCATCTGAGGAGGTTCAGACATCTGATTAGGACAGCTCCTGGACTCGTGGACCCAGAACTCAGTTCTCGGGTTTAGAGACACCTTGGAGGACCTGGAGAGTGTCTCTGTGCAGACGGAGGTCTGGGTTCCCCTCCTGGACCTGCTGGACGGATGTTGAGGTGTTTGAAGGGTTCTGATGGTTCTGATCAGATCTTAAAATCAATAATCGTGTTTTTGTTCATGAAGTCGGTCGTAAACCTCTGAATCCTGTCAAGAACCCGGTAGTCGGTTGTTTACGGTCCTCTCCTGGTTCTGGAGCCTAGTCCTGGTGCTGCCTCTGCTGGTGGCTAACTAAACCCACTGGTGAGGTTCTGTTTGAGCCCCCCCCCCCCCCCCCTTTACAAATCAATTCCCACCTCCCTCCCTCCCCCGAGCGCTCCGGATTAGCTGGTTAACCTCAGTCAGCTTGGCTGTGGGCCGCTCCAGCTTGGCCCGGTCTGACAGAACCGAAG